CCAAGGTTCTTCAATAAATTTAAATTTATTGATTTTTTTCGGATATGATATTTATTGTTTTTATCTATAATAAAAATAAAGTTATTAATTTGTGAAGCTTTTCGAATTTCTTGTCTTGTCAGCAACACCAACAACAACAACATTCCATGACAATACCATAAAATCTTAAAATCATTCCACACATAATTCGACATGAAATATTAATGATGTGTGTGTATGTGTGTGCACGTTATGATTTGTCTGCAAAAATATTTTAAATATTTTATTTCGATTTTGATTTAATGAATTATTAATCGCTGCCAACAATAACAACTCGTCAAATATGTGTTCCCCTACGATTTCTGCACAAGTAGTCAGTCCGTCAGTCATTCAAACCGCCGATATGCATCCAGCCAACCAAAAACAAACTCAATTGCATGTCAATTGAACGTTAGCGACAACGAATTTCAATTCTAAATTAAATATTCTTCCAAACACCTGTTTGCGATTTGTTTTTAATTTGAATTGGCATAATTTTCAATTTTATTGGAACTACAAATGTTTTTTTACGCTTAACACCCTCAGTTTCCCACATTTTTTTTTTTTTTTTTTTTTTTTTGCTGGTTGCCAACAATGAAAAAAGCCGTCAATCCTCTGGCCCAGAGTCAAGTCGTCTGTCTCACTCATCTAGATCCACAAGTTGTGATGCCAAAGTAATTTTAGACTAGATTCTCCTTTAGATTACGAGTTTCGTGTTTTTTTGCCATTGTTTTATTGCATGTGTGTGTGTGTCTCTGTGTGTTTTTGGCTTGTGGGAACGTGTTTGATTTGTAAAACTTCTCCAGTGTTTAGTTTTCCGTTGCTGTTGTTGTTGTTGTTAATGTGATTTGTGGCATTAAATTGTTGACGCGTGCCTGCAATTTTTGTTGTTGTTGTTGCTGTTGTGCAAAAAATCAACAAAACATGATTTTTGTGGTTGGCTGATTTTTATGTTTGTTTATCCAACCCGCCGAGCCAAGAGCCTTCATGCCATTGACGACTGATGGACGGGCCACCACACTCCTGTTCTGCATGTTGCATTTACGGCTGGCTGCTGCTGATGCTGGCTTTGATTGATTTTTGTGCCATTCTTTGTTTGTTTTGAGTTTTTTTCTGGGCAATTTTTCCTCCATCCCGGATACTCACCCAGCAAGAGACGGACTCCAACATAATGGCCTGGCCATTTGGGTTCCTTTTTGACTGGTTACATACATCCGAGTTTTCCACCATGAAAATGCTTTTAACAAAACAAAACCCAAGAGCTGAGCGTGCTTAGAATTGTTTATGCTTTATGTGTTATGCAGTCGTAATATTCACACTATGCAGCATGCAGAGCCTGCACCATGAAAACGGGTTAGTTTTAATGCTGGACCTCGCTGGTGTTTTTGTTTTTTTTTCTCCTTCTTTTCGATTTTTAGCTGAATGAGGTTGGTTTTACTATGTGGTAGCATTTGTAGTACAATTCAAGTTCAATTAAGTTGTTATATGGATTTTTTGCACCATTATCATTACCAATGGTAGTGGCAGTCCGGCCAGAAAACCCGGCCACCAAAAGCAATAACAACTATTTTGTGCCTTGGCTGGCAGGCTGGCTACTGGACGAGCACTCGACATTATCAAAAGTAATATCATTATAAATATCTTGCCAAATAGTGTGATCCATGGCATAGCCAATATAACAACAACAACAACATCAAAACCATGATCATCATCATTTGAGATTTTTTCTTCTTTTTTTTTTCATTGTCCATTGTTGTTGTTGTGAACCATAAAAATCTATAACAACAAAAGCACAATTATGATCATTATCACCATAATTGGGAAAAAGATCGCGAAAAAGCCAAAGGATTTTTTTTCTTGCCATTTGCTGACTTAAAGGCAATTTCCATTGCCATAAATTGAAAAAACAAAGGAAAAGACAAAGTCAGCCAGCCAGCCAGAGTGCCTGCCAGCCAGCCAACCAATTGTGTAAAGTGTCAATGTACAATTATAATAAAATGAAAATTGCTCATGGAATACCAATTGCCTACCAGAGATAGATAGATGGCCAGAGCAGAGCCACAGATGAATGCTGCCTTTTAATGAAATTTAGTTCCGTGAAATTTTAACAATTTTAAGAAAACCAAAAAAAAAAAAACGCTTTTTCCTGGTTAATTAGCTGCCGACTTTGTTGAGGTGAATAATTAACGGTTGAGAGAGACATTTTCATGGACTTATAGGTCTAGATAATTAATTGGAAATAGGATTTTGCTTAACTTAAAGAGATTTTTTTGTTTTGGATTTCGAAAAAAAAATGTAAAAATAAATTTGAATATGTACATTTTAAGCCTGACTTAACTGAAAATTGAGGTAAAACGGCTATTTTTCGAATGTTAGATTTAGACCTCAGGAGGCTCTGTTCAAATTTTCATTTAAAAAAAATAAAACAAAGATTTTCCAAGTTAATTAGCCTTGAATATTCACGGAATTAAAGACATTAAAAAATTTAAAAAGGTGGTTTTAAAAATTTACAGGGTGAGATGAAAACACTTCAACCAATTTCAAACTGCTGTCATTTCTAAGCCACTTGTCCGACAGCTGTTGAAATTATTCCAGTGACAGCTCATTATATTGTTTACAAGCGTACCAAAGCATTTTGGTGAAAATTTTCCAGAAAAAAAGTTATTCGTGATGGAATTCAAACGTGATGGTGTGATTTCTTTATATTTGGCTAGAAAACCACAAGTGGCTATCGTTAGAGCACTCCAGCATTTAAATGTGAATAAATCTTTTGTGTCTCGTACCATCGCTCGTTACCGTGATACTGGCAGCGTAGCCCGACGCCAAGGAAGTGGACATAAGAAAGCAACAACATCAGCAAAAATGTTTCGAAAATTAACGAAGCGACTTAAACGAAACCCGCGTCGCAGTGGCCGAAAAATGGCTCATGAACTGAACATATCGTAATATTCCATTCTGGAAATATTGAAAAATGAACTCGGGGTAAAGGCAATTAAATGCCAAAAAGAACAAGAACTTACACCGCTACAGAAAGAAAGTAGACTCAAAAGAGCTAAAGAGTTGCTACGCTTGGCCGAAAGTGATGAACTGCCGAATTTGGTTTTCTCCGTCTCCGATGAGAAAACATTCGTTGTCCAGCAGTTTGTAAAGAAACAAAATGATCGTGTTTACTTGCCAAAGAGGTCAGTTGAAAATGTGCACCTTCGGTTGGCCACCAGAACTCAAGCGCCGGCCATGGTGATGGTGTGGTGTGGGCCGCCATAACAGCCGATGGTCGCTCTCCGCTCGTTTTAATCGACCGTGGCATTAGAATATATGCCAAATAGTATCGCGAAAATATTCTGGAAGGTGTATTAAAGCCTTGGGCACACAAACATATTGGCCGCAGACCTTGGACATTCGAGACAACAGGACTCAGCACCATCGCACTCAGTACGCGCCACCCAAAAATGGTTACAAAATAAGGTTCCTCGCTTCATCTCCAGCGCACAATGGCCAATTCTCCGGATATTCTCCGGATACCAGTCCGTTGGAATAATGTCTGGAGTATTTCGGAAAGCAAGGTTGGCACTAAAAATACAAAAGTTTGTATCGATCACCTCTTCAAGCAAGCGCTTCGCCGGGAATGGGCCAAAATACCGCAGAGCAACATTCGGGCAGCGTGTGACGGTTTCATTGGCCGTTTGAAGGCCATAAATCGTGCCAAAGGTGACCAATTCGAACAAATCTAAACTTATTGTAAAATTTGATGCTATTTCCGACATATTTTGTAAAAAATGTAAAAATTATGGCGTTAGACTTTGTTGCAGTTTTCTTATGTCATCCTGTATATAATTTTATAAAAGTATAATGTGTCTGATGGAAATATCGCTTTTATACCCAAGCCTCATGGAAAATCTGTGTCAGCTGAATTTGATTCGAGCTACTTATCACATTTAGACCAGGTTCAGAAATTATGGACTTCTTCTAATTACTTCCCCACAAAGGAGCAAATCGTTCAACAAATGGGGCTCGCTTCCCAGTTACCATTTTTTAAAAATCATAACTACCTTGAAATAATTTTTCAGTTTTTCTTGAATGTTCCCCACAAAGGAGTTATCATTTCATTTTATTATTTCTGAAATAATACCTCAATTTTTTTCAAAATACATTCCAATATATCTACCAGCATTAGATCTTATGTGAAGAAGTGCTATATAGGTCGACTTAAAATATTTTGAATAATTATAACTCTCTTGAAATGTGTAACGGCTTATATTTGATATCTTAAATGTTTCAAGCGAATTTCTGACCAACGCTCAATGTTTTGACATAGGTTCCATGGGAGGAGGCTTGCTGATGTAATGTGTTTTAAATATCAAGTTCGATCCTACTGAGAAATCAAGTAATGTGTATTCAAGTTTATTTTTTTCAAAAATACCTTCAAAAGATGAAACATCTACATCATTAATTGATTAATTTTTATATGTTTTAAATAAACATTATTTATTAATTTGTCTTGATTTATTAATTTCTTATTAATTTATTTTTTTTTCTTTAAGATTATTTATTTGTTTTTAAAATTAAAAATGGTTACATAATTTAAATATACTTTATATTTATTTACATCATTTTTATTATATAATTTAATTAAATTAATTTTTTTGAATATAATTACCCCAAACATCCTTCAAATGCAATGGGAATCAGTGGGCCACTTTTAAATGCAATTTCTAAAAGATTCTTTTCAGATACTACCCCCACACTCCAACGACCATTGTGCAATATTTATCGATATATATGTGTGTGTGCGTTTGCGCTCTTGGCTCTCAGCGACATTTATTTGAATGCTATCATTTATTAATTTAAATATTTTTTTGTTTTTTCTCTCTTTTTTCATTTTGCTTGAAATCTTCTATTCAACAATTTTCATCGTCGCGGTCGTCGTCGTCGTCAAACAAACAAACATTTTGTTATAAATTTGTATGTGTGTGTGCGTTTAGTGCTCCCAGTTCGGCTGTTAGCAAACTTAACGGTCAAACCACACCTCTCGATGTGTCAAGCCTATCGCAAAACGAGATACAAGGCTTATTGCTTGGCTCACACCCATCGGCCACAAGCGGCGGCGCAAATGTCACCACAGCCTCAAACATTGCCCACCAACAACAACAGCAGCAGCAACAGCAATCGGCCATTGTGGCAGCCAGTGCAGCTGCTGCCGCCAATGGTGGATCCGGTGGTGCGGGAACTGTCGTCATAACAGCTGATCAGCAACGAGCACAGCAGCAGCAGGCCAATGCAACGGCCACGATTAGCATTAAACGAGAACCCGAAGATTTGCGTAAAGATCCTAAGAACGGTACCGCTAGTAATGGCTCAGCAGCCAGTAGCGGACAAAAGGTGAGTGAACCTCTCTCAACAAATTTCTTCTTTTTGTTCGACGAGAATGTCTTGGATGTCGCGACAACAAAGCTTGGCCTTTTAGTAGCCATTTGTATGCTGCTTCCTGCACATTAGACATCAGCCGACATCAAGCGAATTTTTGATAGAAAAAAAAAGAAACAGAAGGTTAACAGGATATTTAAAAAAATCAAATGAAACCCCATTTTTTTCTTTACAAGAACAGGTGTTAATTACAGGAAACCCTTTATCATTTTTTATTACATTTCTTTTTCTCGCTCTAAGAATAAGTATTTTTTGTATTAACCAAAAAAAAAGGACGCAACACGCAAAAGAAACCAGTTTTGTTTGAAACACTTAATTTTTTAATCATCGGCGAATCGGTGCATTCTTCTCTTCCTTGGCCGCAATTGCATACCACCAAACACTGCTGGCTGAAAGCCTTCCCAGAATTTATCTATGTCTTGTAAATGTCTTACTCTCCTATCCAGCTTTTTTTTCAGTTTGATTTGTTCTAATGCCTTCATTAAGCTTTCTTCCTCCCATTTCACACTCATTCAACCATCCATTCATTCATACATTCTGTAAATTATTTCCACCCCACTCTTCATGGCAGGCACTTTGCTCTCTTTTTCTTTCTTTCCTGCGTTCGTTTGTTTGTTTTTTTTTTTTTCACAATTTTCTGTTACACCCATTTTTCTATTGGCATTTGTTGTATTTGCAATGGTATGCATTTGCTATTTGTGGTGCGCCTGTGTTGGTGTGTCTCCACACATTTTTTGTCATCTTAGCTTTGCAATTGGATGATTTTCAATTGAACAAAAAATACGCCTGGCTTGTTTTCTAATAGTTGTTGGTTTTGCACGTACACCGCTCAAATGGCGTTGTGTGTTAGTGAGTGAGTGTGTGTGCCCACCATATGTGCTGGGACTGCAACGTTTGGCTATTGGCTGAATGTTGTACTCATTTTATTTGTACTCTCTTTGAAACTGTGCTACCACACTGCATACTCACTCGCATGCAAAGCCTCAGTAACTGTTATACATTAGGCTATCTCTGTTTATCTTGTGTAGAGAGTGGTGTTTTGTTCTCTTTTACTCCAATTGGGTTGTATTTTGCCTTCTCGTTAAATGAGGAAATATGTGGTGCTGGTGGTTGTGTGTTGTAATTTGTGTATAAAAGTTTGATCTGAGCCAACAATTGTTGGAATTGAAATTAAAATAAGGGTTTATTATTTGCAACATGTTGGATGATCGATTGCTCGATCACAAGCACTGGTTGGATGATAAAGCAAACGTTTGTTGATCGTTGCATTTTAGTGGGGATTTTTGGAGGAATATTTTTTTAATTGAAAATAAAAAAAAAATGTTGAAAGTAAAATTAATAATTTAATTAAAGTAAAAAAATATTTTATTAAAAATTGTGTAATGAAGTATCCCAAAAAAATATATGAGGTCATATATATAAAGAATATATAATAAAATAAAGCTTAAGTCTATAGTTTTAATTACTAGTCAAATGTGGGTCCTAACAAAAATTCATATTAGGCAATTATATTTGGCGAAAATTCTAGTTTGTAGGTAGGAAAGGTCGTTGAAAAGACACGAAAATTAGAATTTCCTGTTGTAAATTAGGTGCTATTTTATACAGAAGTTTTGAAATTTGTAGTTTATGTAGGTAATTAAAGAAAGTATGTTTTAAATTGAGATATATTTCTTCAAAATATCATTTTTCTGTAGATTTGCAAGAAGTTATTGTTTTTTTCCGGCTATTTCGGAGGGTAAAGTTGATTTATACCAAAAATGTTTTTAAATCCCAGTATCCTTTTGAAAAACATTGCTGTCTGTAATAAAGAGTAATATGAAGACAAGGCAATGTGGGAATACTCCAGACAATCACCTTAAATCCCTATAAGTATTGATTGACAGCTTTTGCTACACCACAAGAATAAGTGGACATTGTATGTTTATTTTGAATTAAGTTTTGGTCTGAGAGATAAATTTCAAATTTGTATCAGAAATCAATGCTCTAGAATACCAAATTTGAAAAATTATTTCTTCCCATAAATTCAATTTTCAATATATATTATATATGTTTTGGTGTATTGTTTTTCTTCCTTTGAAATTAATTTGAATATATTGTTCATTAAATTATTAATTTTTTTAATTTTTGTTCAGTAGTTTTCCTTACTACTGCATGGAAGGTAGGATATTTTTTTTCATTTTTTTATATTTATTATAGCTATGGAAATTCTGCTAACAGTAGGTAAAATTTTAACAAAAATTAATAGGTGTTTTCGAAATTGATAAATATATATTTTTTAATTAATAAATTTAAAAATGAAAATACCGGCAGGCTTTTAGAAGTTATTCACGTTTTAAGCGACCACAGTTTGAATTACCGTGATTCCACTGTCCCTTATAAAAAAAGCTTGACGTCATCATATGTTCGATATGCAATCTTGTCTGCATATAATTTAATGAAGACATATTGTAAAGAAAACATGAACATTGTTTTAAAAAGTAGTATATTTAGTACCAATAAATTCCGTAGATGAAATATTCAATTTGAATTAGAAAAGAAAACAGGTTGAGGATGCTTTTTTAATTATTTATTTGTTTCAAAACTTTGCATAACTAATTATGTTCATGCCATAAATTCTTTATTTTTTATTTTATTTCATTTTTTTTTTTTTTTTTTTTTTTTTTTTTGAAAACAAGAAACTGCATTCGATTTTTAAATTGCGTAGAATCTCTTAGGAACTTGAAATGATAACAACGTTTCTATGCATCCATAAAGAAGGTGAGGAGAAAAAAAAAATAAAATAGAAACTGTACTTGAATGAACCAGGAACACAAGATTTTTGATTTGTTTAGAGGTGTATTTCAAATGCCGGCAAAAGTGAGATCAAAATCGCCGAGAGGGCTTGGTTTAAAAAATAAAATAAATAAATAAATTAATTAATTAATAAATACATAATATAAAATAATAATAAATGAATTAATTTATTAAAAAATTAATAAAAATATCTTAGTGAGAGCTTATAGGCCAAAAAAAGTTCTCATGACACATAGTTTGATTCAAATTAAATTTCAACATCAAACTGAAGTATAAAATAGAAACTGTACTGCATCAACCAGGAACACAAGATTGTGATTTGCAAAGTAGTGTACTTCTAATGCCGCCCAAATCGTGATCGAAAGCAGAATTTCAAGAGAGGGCTTGGCTTTAAAAAATATAAATAAATAAAAAGGCATCATAATTAGAGCTTGCAGATCAAAAAGAGTAACCAGGTCCTATATATGTCCCCTTTTATCCGACCTTGGGCTACTTTTAAATATAATTTCAAGATCAAAATGAAGTATATGGGAAATGTGGTTACATTCTAGGACATAAAAATTATAATTTTTCTTCTAAAACTAAGTATTTTTCTAAAATTCGGAATATTCTCTGACTCCTTAAAAATGAAGGTTTCTGGAATATCGCAAAATTTTGAATAATGTACAAAAATTAAAAATTCCAAAATAAATTATAAAAAATAAAAATAAATTAAAATAACAAAAACACTTTGGAATCTCGATATACATTTTGATAAAAAAAATACTACTTTTTTGTAGTCTTCATTTCCTCACCAAATATGGCTTATCAGTAGCTAAATTATCAGGGAAACCTGTCACAATAAGAGGAGTGTCTCAAATTTTGCCTGGTTTTCCTTTTTCACTCATTAAATAAATAAAAAAAAAAAAACAGAATCTAAGCAACGAAAATATGCTAGTTCTGTAATGAGTTCTGCAATTAAGAAACAATTCATGGAATCTGAATTCATTATATTAAGCCAAATTATTTTTAAAAATCATTGTTAGTATATTTAAATCTTGAATTATAGTTCGCTAAAGTAGATACAGGGTCCGCCTGGATATTTTCTCAAAATTCTTTTCAAAATTCAAAAATTGAAAGCATAATTCTTCTGGTTAATAATGGACAATAATTGCAATCAAATGGCTTCCTTGACTGGCCTAGTGGCCAGTAGACTAAAGAATCGGTATAATTTTTAAGCGCATTATAGATTTTGTGTATTTCACCAACGGCTTCACGAATATTGTCCTATAAAGCGAGAATTGTCTCTGGCTTATCGGGGTAACATTTATCTTTAACGGCACCCTACAAATAATGGTCCAACGGTGTCAAATCACAGCTTTGAGGTGGCAATTCAGTCTTAGCTCTGCGACTGATAATTCGATCTTCAAAAAATGGGGCGCAAAACATCGAGTGTGGCTTCGTTTGTAAGGCACGTAACGCCTTAAAATTATCCAATCACACTTCTGAACCATAATCTGCCCAATCGATGCCCATTTTGGGAGTATCGATTTTTCAAAGCATGAGTTCGCGATTGCTGTGCCCCAAATGCGACAATTTTTCTTGTTTACAAAAGGAGCCCTTCTCTTCTTCAAAAAAATCCATACGGAATTTCAAACACATTCTGCAACATTTCTATGATTTTCAAAGTAATGTCGCAATATTTCCCAAAGTAGTTCAAGTGTATTCAAAACCACATTCGTTCAGCGGAAGGATAAAACTATTTATTTTTCAAATCAGACATCAGCTATGGGTTACAATTCATGATATATGGCGGACCCAACAATAAATAATACCTAAAATCATTATGGAAAAATTTCCATATCCAATTTCCACGAAGAAGATTCTCAAATAGTCCTTAAATGAATTCTACTCTTTGATTTCAGAAAGATTATTTCGTTTATTAAGAATTTTTTAGGTCCTCTCAACCCCTCTTATACCTCATCTTAATAATACTATAGGGTTATCGATATATAATTTAGGTTAGCTTTGCTTCCAAAGACATTTTTATTCCATTCATTCATATTTCAATTTTTTCTCATTGTCCGTAAGAATAAATAAGTCTTAATTTTTAAGTTACGATATATAAAATTAGGCATATATCATTCTCTATGCTGTAGCATCTAAAACAGGACGGGCCAAAG